ACTTTGCATATGTACACGTACAGGAAATTCCATATATGACAACTGTGTGGCTGAGGTCGTTTATGAGTTAACACGTGTACCCGCTCTTACTATTACGGGAAAGCAAAGTCAGCTAATAGCTTGTGATTATTTGAGTTCTAATAGAGGGATGAAGTATAATGCGTCCAAATTCATGAAATATGTTTTTAAAGCCAGACGAAATTAACATTAATATATGTATCGTGTATTTACATGTATAATATATCAAGATAAGAATAATAGCATTCTAATCATAATTATGCATAACGCTTGTTATCTACTATACTTTAATGAATATGTTAATACTCATGCTGAATTAAACACTATACAGCATATTTAAAAAGAAAACACATAGCTAATACATGATGTAAAATATTAAAGATCAATACAAATCAAATCAAATGAAATGGGGTTTAACGTCCTACTTTTCTGCTCCGACTGGGATAATGAAGTCGGGTATACCAGAAGCAGTGTGCTATGAGGGCATTTTTACCGCCAGTGGTTCTTTACGTGCACGCCAATGTGTTTACGGGACCTCGGTTATTTGTTTCATCTTTGCCAGGCCCTCCTACACCACAGACAAGGGAGGAACCACTCAGTTAAATCTTGATGAACTTTCTTTGCCAACGCCGAGATCGAGCCCGGACGTTCGGGTTAGCGAGCCAACGTCTTACTCACTGAGCCACCGCGGTTCCAAATAAAATACAATGTAGCTTGATATTGTTACCTTATATGTATGTTTGTCCGAAAATTAAATCATGTACTTTGTACAAATTTGGTTTCTTTCAATGTCCAACAAGAACAACAGAAAATAATCGACTGTAGCCACTTTAAGAGTGATCTATCCTTGGAATAGTGCCTCAGAAGTTAGTTTGTGACCAAAGGGGGTTGGTCTTGAACTGAAGGCATCAGTATGTAAAAAGATGAGCTGTACTATATATAATAATACATTTATTGATTGAAGTGCCACACCGTAGAATTACTAGACTTGTTTCGGTCATAATAAAACTGTCGTTTCATTTGGGGGATTTTGTGGAACGACAATCTGTCTTCACTGACAAATCCATTGTTGGGATGAAGATATTAACAGTAAACTGGCCGACATGCACATAATTATAATATAACCTTGTCACATCACTGATAGCCATAACACATTAGATCAGCCAAAATATATACCGTACATTGTCCTGAATCAATGAAGTTTATACTCCTATGATTATAAAATAACAATATATGAGTGAATATTGAATTGTTGCACAAATGATTATTTGTCTTAATGAATAATATATGGTCGATTATCAGTACAATTCTTTAAAGATAGAAATCTATTTTATTGAATATTTTGAAAGATAATCAAACCGTAAACATCATAAAAATAGATGATAAAGCACAAAAGAAATGGTGATATTGTGAACACAAATAGAATGGTACACTATGAATAAATTATTAATCTCGCTATTAAAGCCATTTTCAAGCTTTTAATGTTCTGTGTTTGATCTGAAAGAGCTCTCATGGGCGCTAATGCCCACTCCATAATGCGTTCTTCACATCAATATAAATTTGAATTTCATTCAACTGGTATTGTGTAACAAGGCACATTCGTTTATAGTTCTTCAGTTTTATAACATATCGTAAATCGTAATTTTGATATAAATAGCTTCTCCGATCAGAATTGAATAGTTTGATGATTGACTGCCTAGAACAATTTGTATATTCATTGCTAAAATGATGTAGGACAATACAGAGACCCAAAGACATTCGATGCACGTTAATATTGAACTTTATTATCTTTATTGTGGAAAGAATTGAATATTTCTCTTTTACCTTTTGAAATTCGATTTTTATATTTCACGCGCTGGTTATTACTGAATTGGTAATTGTCAACGCGTTAAAAAGCACACCTCTTTTAATAGAAACGCTATTTTTATTTAACAAAGAATTCAATAATTTGAACTAGCTCTAATTATATGTAACGTCATTAATGATTTATAAGTAGAACAAAAAATAATATGGGATTTTAACGACTCTCCTTTCCAACAGCAGGATCGAAACCGGGATCTCCTGGTCAGTGACCCAGCGTCATACTCACTGAGGCACCTTGGTTGTAGACGGGGGACAATATTATGTGGCTATGCAACTGCACAGAAAGATATGAGCATATACTACTATCGAATTAGCAGGCTGTAATTAGTGACGGGGCCGTGCAATAGCACCCTACACTATTTCTCATTTAGATGCAGAAAATGAAATATAAATTATACTAATATACGCGACGCAGGGTATGCTTACCATGTTTGGATCATGGAATACAAAATCTACCATTTTACTCAGAGCCAAGTACACTTGATCAATTATCAAAATATGGAATGCAGTTAACGAATTTGGAAAAAAAATTGTCTGGAAAATACGAAGTGAGCTTAATGAAGAGACGTAATTTGAATTATTCAATACATGTTCAATCTCGGCAAATATTCCAGACACAAAGTACGGCATGTTGTTTAGATTTTACAAGTTTTCATTAGAGATGCCACGCAGGATGGATACAAATATTATTATATCCAAAACACGGTCGATGAACATTATCTTAAAGGTTCGCATATATTGTCTCAAAACATCTATCCATAACACAGAATTCACAGTATGATACTTACCAAGTTTTAAGTGAGCCGAAGTATATTTATAAATGAATTATTTTTTCTCTCAAAGTGTTGTGTTTAAGAAGATTCAACAAGCAGAGAATCAATGGAGACCTTTTAGCTGGGATAACTCATCAATAATATGTTAAAAATTATTATCCCGAGATTATTGTTTTATAAACAGACAAAAACCCGCGGAGGACTCCGCGTAATTTATATTCAGTCTCGGAAAAGAAATCCTTACAAGACCTAATATCGATTTTAATCGATTATATCGATGCGAACCATTGTTTTCGGTTAACAAATGTTCCAATTTGAAGCACAAATAAAGCAGTTATCATTTGTCTTAAGTGGCTTTTGTTTTGATAAAAGATAAAAGGCTTTGTTTCTTTGCTTATTGAATAACATATGGAACTGGTTGTCAAAATGTTTTGTCGTGACGTATCCGTTTTAATTATACAACATGCTTTATAGAACTGTATCTCTTTGTGTGGCCATTAAACGTTCAAAGAAGCATGTCATCCCTTGGTGACGTCGACGTCCTTAAAATCTATCGTTGTATTTTTATGTAACGGTCTAGAATTATATGTTGAAGAATGTCGATACTATAGCAAGATTTTTTTCTCACGTTAAACCCTTTGCAAAACGACATCTATTCAACTGAACATCTATTCAATTGAACATCTATTCAAACTGTTTTGCTTAATATTATACTTTATAAATTCAAAGTCATCGAAGCCTTTCGTAATTTTTTATAACGACAAAATATCGTGAAGACGTTGTTTCACGTAGTAAGAAATGAAAATACCCCCCCCCCCCCATACACGAGTGAGTAATTGGTATACATTGCTAAAAAAAACCCCAAAGAATATGCGGTTCTGCAACTATCAGATCACATAGCTAACAATTGTTTTTCCAGGGCTTAGTTTCGTATTGTGTGCAAATTGCGAAGTCAGTGTCAATGCCTTCATCTTTCTACATATATGTACTTCTTCAACAGGAAAGGGTGTTTTTATTATGTTTTTGTTAATTTCAGATATTCAGGATTTCAAATTTTACAATTTGTGTAATAATTGAAAATTCAAATCATGGTAAGGCCTCCGTGACCCCTACTGCGTGTTCCACGAATGGTGTTATCTTCGGGGGTTAATTAATCTTAGCTAAAAAAATAGAGTAATACGTTTTTTGGAAATATGATGGAAGAGACAAGTCAAATTGAATAATTATTTTCACGATCGTCAGAAATCTCTTTTTTGACATGTATATGAATTAAGTGAATAAATCGCCACTGACGTATTTTTGTTTATGGAGCCAGATCGCTGTAACATGAGAAACTATCAAGATATCCATCATGTTAATTCAGTTATAAGTTACAAAATTAACGATTTTTATCAAATGTTCCACTTCTAGAATGTAGCCAACCATGATGAGATTGTTTCAATAAAACTGGCGGTATTGAAAATACGTTATGTCGGCGCGCAATAATAGATAGCGTTACTCGTCGTCATGTGAACAACTCTAAAATAATTATTTCGTCTATATCGGATTGATTGATTGAAATCTATTCCAGATTTCACGACCGCGGACAATAGGCCGGCCTACGAATAAAACAATCGATGTAGTTATAGTAAATAATGCATCTGCAGGTACGAATTGACGTTAACGTCACATCACATCAAGTAACACGCCTCCTGATTCGTCAAACAATTTCTGCACGTGGCACGTGACACATTTCACCTGTGTGCGTGCAACTCACGCGCAGAATCTGGATCATTTGAAGCTTGGTTGGTACCATGACTGCGCCAGTATAGAAGTAAGTATTGAGTATGCTGCTTGCTAGTCTTGGAATAAGTATATCTTGATGTTGTATGGGAGTAAGCTATATATAGTAGACAAGTATATTTATTATTGTATTATAAAACACAGCGTGAATATTACATTACAGATGAAATCAATAAGTGAGTATAATAAACTTTTCCATATAGGAATATGGTTATAGATTATTACAACATATGGTCAAGTATATCGCGTTCTCACAAGTACGGACTGGGCTAACACCGGTGTGGTGAATCCAGGGTAACATTGTTCGAAAGGTTTCCTGTTGGTCAAGTCCTATTGTTATGTGGTTGTGTTGAACGAAAGGGGGCACCATTGTGATTAGAAGCTAGTCCATTGTTTGACTGTATATCATATGGTCTATAGAGACTACAAATCAATATTATATCCCAGGACCTAGCCATAGGCACGAGAGAGAGAGAGAGAGAAACTAATTTCCCGCCGAGTCACTTGCCAACTAGACGATAAGTTAAAGAAGATTATCAGACATTTTGACGGGTTTCGCGATTTGCGAACAGTCTAACAGATTGTGTTCGTTGTCGACGAAACCTGCCTTAAGCCGCTGAGATACCTGCTGTGATAGAACGAGGAGATTAGGCAGAAATGATCACGGATTATCACCAGATTAAATGCAAATAGAGTATTTGTAACATATGGGACCATGTTTAGCAGTATGTATTCTTGCACCAGTATGGTCGGTTTATTCTGGGGTTTAATTCTATGACGTGTGTTGTATAGACAAAGCTTAAAGCGACTTATATTTATAGGGAAGCTGATATTGACAACATACGTAAGTTTCACTACATTGTATATTGTCTTTATTTTCCGTCATTCAAACATGGCAGGGTAACGCTTACTCAGCCAAAAAGGATGGACCTATTGTCTGAAAGGTCTTGTAAATATTTTGTAGATATTCCATACGTGTCAGAGTAACTGTTACAGCTGACATGGAAGGACCAATTCCCCAAATATCTTAAAGGGGACTAGGCAAGCGCATTTAAAGACCATTGCCGAGAGGTAAAAGTAGTATTTTCGATCGATGTGAGACAGATCTGCTGATATACCCATTACGAGCAAAACACTCTTGTAAGGGTGTGGTTTTCAGGCAGTGCTAGGATTTTCAATAAGGTGAAGAAGCTATGGTTATTTTGAATAGATATTGTAATTGCATTTCTGTTATTGCTGAAAGTGATAATGCAACTTTAAACGCTGGTTACTGAAGAACAGCAGCTGTTATTATATAAATATATATTATATTTTAAAACTTGCCATATGTTAATTTCCAAACGGCCCAGGTAACGTTTCGGCATGATGTTAATCCATATTTCGTTCAATTGTTTGTTAATTTAAATATGTTACCCGAAATTTAATTTGACTCTATCACATCTGGGTAATTTTATTAAATTTTGAGGAGAAACAAACTTTTTCCATAAAATATATGTTCTATCCAGTTGACCATTCTCTGACTCAGCTGGATTCCTGCGCCCATTTTAAGTTTGTATAGCCATAAAAGACACCACTATTGCATAATCATTTAGTTTTGTCCTAAATACCGATGCAGTTCTTTAATTCGAGTGGCTTTTGGGAAAATTGAGGAACATCAACGATTTTATTATTCACTGAAGCAATGTCTTTTTAAGGTGGCATTATGGACGATTAGATAAGGAGCTGACAGTTCTCGTTGTAATAGTTGAAAAAAAAACAGATAATGTAAAGAGGGACATGCTGAAAATTTCAGTCAAACTATTTCACCCTGAAGCTAGAAATACTCATTTTAATAACACTGTAGCCTCAATTGTCATGGTTACGATAATAAACAAAGTCTCGATTATCCACTTAAAAGGTTAACCGCGGATCGGATTCAAATCTGCTAAAAATGGGACCCATCAGATAGTACCGAGAGTTGATTATGGAATTGTCATGTTTAAACTTCAAAATGTTAATAAAAAGAAAACTATTTTCCATTATTGTAATAATGCACGAATTTCTGGATGAAATGACACAACAGGGATTTAAAATCGTGATAAGGTAATACTTCATTTCAAGGCACCTGTAAAATGGTTGGCTGAGTTTCTACTACTTAGACGTTATTTACGCTTACACTACACACAGGAACTCGGTTTTCCTATCATCCTCTCGACGTGTTACCCCATGCATGAAATATCGCAAAGATCCTACTCGAACCACTCGGGAATTCAGTCTTTATATTGGAAAATGTTGACTTTGTTATTTGGTGATATTAATGGAGGTTATATACATCACTCTAGTTAATACAGATTATAATCCGGACTATTTTCAGTACCGTTATGGTCCGTACGGCCATCTCCCAACCCGCCCAATGTTATTTAATTATATAAATGGCCAGAATCAGCTGCCCTTCGAAAGTAACCAGCATACTCTAGTACCAGAACTGATATTTCATTCAAGCGAATCAGTGACCCACAATTACCCAATTACTAAGAAACTCCTCAAATCATTGACCAAGCCTTCATCGTAACTGACTGTTCTGATGTAGTTGTTATCCTGCTAACCCATTTAGGAACATGCGGATCAATTTCATCCCAATGAATAGTAAAGAAACCCCCAAATGTTTCGGTCAAACGGACAAGAAAATGGATATGAGAGAGTTAGAGTTGGGGTTTGCCATCCACTCGACACAAATTAGGCCATTTCGGGACTAACATTGTTCAATTTTATTTCAATGATTGGCTTGCGCGTAGGGGTCTAGCAGTGGCAGGAGGAAACCGGTGGACCTCGAGAAAACCCACGAGGTTGGACAGGCGACTCGATTCCTTGCCACGCACAAGTGGGGAATCGAAACCACACCACTTGACTCAATGACAGACCTTCCGTTCCAACGCGCACGCCCCCACCCCCCTATTATTTGAGATACAATTACATGTATTGTTTAATAGCGTTTCAACTGGAATTCTTCAGTCTTTATAACGTATTTGTCCTTTGCTTGACCTTGATCCCATTTTCCAGGTTGGTAAGGAATAGTAAGACGTTAAACCTCATTTCATTTCCGTTGCTTGATAAAGTCTGGAGGATCCTGGTCGCGGGTTTTCGACTGTCAGGTCTTTGTCAAGTCTTTGCCTATTAAATAACACTAGTCATGCGTTTTGCCCTAGAATTGTGCCCTGTGGACTTTAAAGAGTTTGTGTTTGCAGGAACAGTTTCCATCTTACTGTAGTCACAACGAGTCCATTTTAAATCGGTTATCACCTGTTCTTGTATTCATATAGCATGCTTTCAAGTTATTACGAGAAACACCGTATTTTCTCTTTATGAAAGAACCTTTTTTAATAATGCATGCATTTGGAAAGTCTGCAGTAACTGGTATTATATTACATTTAAAATTGCGATTTGGTGACTGTGAACCGCGCAATTTTTGTAATCACCCAGTTCTAATCCTTCAAGGGAGCTTTGAAATATTTTATTTTAGAATTTAAATATTCGTTATTGCAACAGAATATTAGATTATAGGCGCTCTATAAATAAGTTATTATTATTATCAAATTTGGTGCGAAAATTTGATTTTCATTATTTCAATTACTCGGTTTTTGAAAATGTATACCCCATTCACGATCGATAACTGAGTATGGTACGCTAACTAAGAGGTCCCAGGCTCGAACACGGTGCTGGCGTGCACGTAACGAAACATTTGGCAGTTGGTATTTGATATAAAGAGTAGACCGTAGCCCCGCTTCTGGGTCAAATGTTCCTCAAAGTGCACTGTGTTCTCTTGGCCCAGAAAAGTTGGACGTTAAACACCACATGTCTCTTCTCATCTCGGGTACAGTGAACATATTGGTTATTGGCAGATTGGCTGTAGTGTTAGAGAAATTGGTGGACATATTCAAATATCACTCCTTTTCAATAAAGTACATCCTCTAAAAAGTAAAACGCGACACATACTGTCTTAAGGAAAATCCATGCAGCAATCCATATGGTGTACACTATCCCCAGAATAAATAAGATCCACATTGCATGGTGTATTCTCTTCGTAGTATTCCAAAGCGGTGCATTTGGAGGACACACTGTCTTCGGGAAAAGTAATAGCATAGCAGTGCGTGCATACGGTCCATAAATGTAAAAGCAGGGCGTACTGTCCCTAATAATTAATAATGGATGGTGAATACTGTCCTTAGTAACCCATAGCGGCGCACAGTCTTATGGGATCTACACAGTTCTCAGTAAAAGTAATAGTGGTGCGTGAATACACTCCTCAGTAAAGTAAAAGTAGTACCTCATGTCTGTAATAATGCATAGATTTAAACGAATTATTGAAAAATATTATTCGTACATGACGACCATCAACTAGGTACTGCTAAACATTTAATTTTCAACAGAATTATAAAATAATTTGGACGTATACGACCTTAAGAAGGATTGCAATATTAATGATATAAAAGCACTATTCATCAAAATGGAGAGGTTTAATGTACATTGTCTAGAGATTACAGTTGTCCATTTGACTGTTATGGACCTGATAACAACAGTCGTCATAGTAACTGTATTTCATGAATTCGATACTCATTCAGACATTAAATTATAGGCATTTATTGTCTACTACCAGAACTAATTACAGGCCATAAAACTCAGGAATCTTAACGGAATTAATGATTTCTATGTCTTTAGGTGAAGACTTTGGGTGCATTTTCCAATGATTTGTTAATTATCTCGTATTTTTCTAACGAACTACAGGGGATATTATTAACGTAATTTCCTTTCTTGTATACAACTCTGACATTTCATTCTTGTCCATTTAGATACCTGTAGTATTAAGGTGGGTTTTTTTTAAATAACAGTTAATGTGTCAGTATCGTGATGAATACTTAAATGTTTCAATTCGATTCATGAGGAGATTCGAAAGAGAATCTGGAACAGGGAAATTTCAGCCATTTTATGATAGCTAAACTCAAGCAAATCCCAAAACAACAGAACTGGAACCAGACCCGTAGACAGTGGATACCCAATGAATGTAATGTTGAGGGGGCTTTGTTGCCAGATACCCGATAGGGGCGCTGTAAGATCCCCAGCAGCTTATGCTATACACCTACAATTCATTTCTGCAGTCTACAGCGCTGTGCAAATAGGACATTTTTCAGTATCATCGCTTGGAATTTCCAAACTTCAACTGAGCAGGTCTAGGCTTTGTCTACTGATGGTACATAGTGGAAACACGGGTAACATAGGTTACGGTTTGTGTACTGAGGATACATAGGGGAAACACAGGTCACATAGGGTAGGGGTTGTCTGCTGAAGGTACATAGTGGAAACAGGTCACATAGGTTAGGGTTTGTATAATGGTTTGAAAAGATTTGAAATTTTCAAGCTGAAATTAATTGTGTCTTTTCCCCCGAAATTTCATTTTGCTAGAATGGATGAAGTAGATAACAAAAGGTATTGTGATGCATCCGATGAGATTTGGAATTTTCAAGCTGAAATTAATTGCGTCTTTCCCCCCGAAATTTCATTTTGCTGGAATGGATGAAGTAGGCAACAAAAGTGTCATCCTATTAAAGGTATTGTGATGACTATTTAATAGCCACTCGAATGGGAAGCTGTTAGACGCCATTAAAACATAAGATTTTATTGACAATTTGACCACCATTTACAAATACCCCATCATCCGCCTTTTCTCACAAATCAAAATTTAATCGTATGAGAGCACCACTAATCGGAACAACAATTCTATATTTTATTTTAACTTATCTCAAAGTGCTTTCATCGCAATTCTTGTTTTTTCCAGAAGGTCATTTTCCGTATTTAGATTTAATGAAAAATGTATAGTGAAAACGCGTTCATTACATAGTAATTTAGGCGAGGAAAAGCAAACCTATGGTAGACACTATCTTGTTTTCGATGTTCATGATCATTCAGACACTATCTTGTTTTCGATGTCCATGATCATTCATACCATAAATAAAGGCAGCGTAAAATAAGTAGAAAGTAATGTGGACTTTAGATAAGACTATATTTGCTATTAGGTATGAAATATTGTTCATTTAAATAAATAAATAGTCGCCGAACCCAAAAGGATCACAGGAAGGGAATAGTGTATTATATTATGGTTAATTTTCAATAAAACTCAAAGAAACTGATATGGTGGTCGCTACGTACCCGGCCAGGTACGAAATACATTTAATGATCTATTATTCAAATTCAAAATGCCAAAGGATCTTTTTCATATAGTGTTACTATTGAAACCACCCACCATAAATAAATATCTCCAAATATCTCGACAGTTACACCACAATAATATACACCAAGCCTTAAATCAGCTTAAAACATTTATAGTCACTAAATAAACGGCCACGCTGTACTTAATAAGCTATTACCATTTAATCATCCATAAATAATACACTGAAAGATGGTTCCGAGTGCATAACATCCGAGCACATGTGAGTAAAAAATAGGTTACGTGCCCTTGTTTTGAAAGTAGTCTCGCTTAACCCGTTTACCGACCATTCTACGTTTGATTAACAGACCGGGATAATCAAGACTACTTTTTTACGAAACATAACAGAAAGCTGGAACAATAAATTTAATTTAGAAACACGCACGTTGGGTAACTCAACAAGTGTTTTAAGAACCTTGTAAAAGTAAAATGAAACTACTGCTAGTATCATGTTCAGAGATATTATTTGTACAAAACCAAAAGATGCCGCTCCTAATGGTACAGTTAATGATAAAGAAATTTAAAAAATAAAACGAACGTAATTTCTAAAGCTGCTGTAATAACCAATAAGCTAAATATTACTGCTATTAGGATGACCCATGTACTCACAGAAATACAGTCCACCGCTGATAGTTCGAGACTACCACTGAAGCGTGCACATTCGATGTGCCGAGACCAACTTTCTGACAGTATGATACTATAAATAGCCATGGCACGTGCAATTCTCTACAAATCTATCAACTATTACAGCCGTAAAAAATTTATTGTTGACGATTTTGAATAGCAGTAAAATTAAGCTTCTTGTTTATTACAGCAGATTTAGAAATTACGTTCGTTTCATTTTTTAAATCGCTTTATCATTAACTGTACCGTTAAGAGCGGCATCTTTTGGTTTAGTACAAATAATATCTCTGAATCACTCAGGTTAGACAGGAACATGATACTAGCAGTAGTTTCATTTTACTTTTACAAGCTTCTTAAAACGATTGTTGAGCTACCTAACGTGCTTATTTCTAAATTCAATTTCTTGTTCTAGCTTTCTGTTATGTTTCGTAAAAAAGTAGTCTTGATTATCCCGACCTGTCAATCAGACGTAGAATGGTCGATAGACTGGTTAAGCGAGACTAATTTCAAAACAAGGGCACGTAACCTATCTTTTACTCAAAAGTGTCTGGATGTTATGGACGACTCTTGGAACCAGTTTTCAGTCTATTATTTATACATGATTAATGGTCATAGCTTATTAAGTACAACATGATCGTTTATTTAGTGACTATAATTGTGTGAAACTGATTTGAGGCTTGGCATATATATAAATATTGTGGCGTAATTGTCGAGATATATGGAGATATTTATTTATGGTGGGTCACCCTACTGCTATTCAGAATCGTCAACAATAGATTTTTTACGGCTGTAATAGTTGATAGATGTGTAGAGAATTGCACGTGCGATGCCTATTTATAGTATCATAGACTCTTCCGCTGAGTGTTATCATAGTGCGTAGTGTATGCGAGAAATCACTTCAACGTGAGCCACTGAAGCGCGTACATTCGCCGTAGACCAACTTTCTGTACGATGCACGGGTCACCCTACCACTGGCAAGATTCTTGCGTGTTGTCTGCTCCTAGAGGTGGGTTTCGGTCCATATCGGTACATATTTATAGTGAGATAGATGTGCATTCTAAAATCTTCAAATTCAAAGAAACGTAACGATGCATTATGCGAGAGTTAAGACTTCTGATTGAAGGTCTTTTTCTGGTTTCAAATGTTATATAAATTATTTAGACAGTTATTATACAATACTTACTCAACTCTCTAGATTATCGGATTAGAGAATGTCTGCCATATTTTCGGTAAATGTCAAATTGGACAAAATAGTCTACGTTTATAATAGTAGCAATGGTACTTTACAATCGAGACTACCCCATTTGAAAATTTCAAACATTAAATATGCGCCCAGAACAAAATAATTTGACCTAAATATTCATATTCCATTATTTTTTTTTATTTTTTATTTATTTTTTTTTTGACACTTTTGTAGCAAGAATAACCTGCTCGTTATCTAAATCTTACATAATGCATTTTTAACCCCATCAATAATTTTACTTAGAGCCACGCACCAAAAGGCAAACTTGTTCCTTCGTTAAAAAAATCAATGAATATTATTAATTAATTGGTTTAGCATTTCCGCTATTTAACAAAAAGAAACATCACACGATTACAACCACTTATGAAGAGATTTGGCATGTCTTGAGTGGACTTGTCTTGCATGCCAAGCGTGAATAATGTCTCTGCTTTGTGTCAGTTATCGGTTGACTGTCTCGGGTTGAGCTGGCTGTCAATACAAATCGTCCGAAAAGCAGAATATCTTTACCAGACTACAGTTAACATCATCACTGAAGCAAACAATGCTACATGTGCAGATTTCGACGATTAATAAGTGAAACATGTTTCATAAGTCCTTTAACTTCGTGATTTATGCTGCAGTTAGTTCTTTTAGGGGATTAACTTATGAAAGGAACGGTGTGGGTATACGTACCAGGGATAGGTGAAACAGAATGACCCATTTTTTTACCCATTTTTCTAGTCTTGGCATCATCCGTAGGATATCTGTGTTCAACTTTTATGCTTTTCCCAATCCAGTAATCGTTTCAGCCAATCACACTAGAGCAGATAACCGCCAACAAAGGAGTTAGATCCCTATATAGTGTAAAATGTTTACACCGAAAAGACATCAAGATACAAAATTAAAATAACTCTAGGTTTATATGGAATAAAATAGGTGTCTCGTTAACACTTCTAGGCACATTATCTCAGAGGAAAGAACCATATGACAAACACCTATTTCAATTTTGCTTCCCGTTTCTTTGGGGAAAAAACTAATTTGACAACACACAATATTTGGGTGCTCTTCTCAACAGCTTTTGGGTCCAAATTTTCAAGTTTTGAAATTTTAAGCAAAACACAAACGAGTGCTAATTTATGCACAATGAAAATTTAAATTAGTTGGCTTAATGTTTGTATTGCAGGTGGCAACATAGACGGGAAAAGTATTTAGCAGTTGGTGGAAGCATGAACATAGACGATCGTTTCTGTAAAGCTTTTATTATGTGAAGTTGCTACTTGCCCTTCAGCAAGTAATATATTATGCAAACCTCCTCCGCCAGAAGAGTCATTTTACTTAAGTTCAGAAAGGGCTCCGTCAACAATTATTCGCCTGTTTAGGGCTTATATTCGTTAAGTATAAGTTTTGAATAAAATTTGCCGACCTTATTCTATTCTGGGGGAAAATAGAAGTAATGGGAATACCAGGTAAAAGGAAATGGTTTTATTGTTCGATAATATTCTATATGATATAACAGGCTCATTTACACTAAAAAAAACTTAGTGAACAAAATGTAAAAATTACTTTCCAGTGTTCAATACTATTTGAATGACCTTAGTTGTTGATTTGGGGGTCGGGTGGCCGAATGTTTAGCGCGTGCGCGCTGCATCATAAGGTCTGTCATTGAGTCAACTGGCGTGGTTTCGATTCTCCGGGTTTTCTCCCGGTCCTCTGGTTTCCTGCCAATGCTAAAGACCTCTACGCGCAAGCGAATTATTGATATAAAATTGAACCATATGTTAGTCCCGAAATGACCTAGTGTGTGTCGAGTGGGCGTTAAACTCTCTCTCTCTCTCCATTAAAATAGGGTCATAAAACTATTTGTGTAAGACAAAGTACATTACCACAGGGTTTATTTATTCTAATAACCCTCGGTCTTCCGCATCTAAAACCAACTTGAAGTGATCAAGTCAGATTAAATTTGTACTACCACATTTGTCATTTATATAGCAGAAATTTAGGGTAATGTTCTCGTCATCTTTTCAAATAACTGGGCAAATATTCTAATTAGGGTAACACGAAGGCACTACAGAAAGCCTGATCATGTTAGATAAAACATAATGTCTTGTTTCTAACTCCATCTTTTCTGTTAAGTCCTCTAGCTCCATTGTAATTCGATCGATTTTTTTTCCAAATCACTCAAACCGATGCCAGTAATTGGTTAATTTATTGCAGGAGTGGTCATAAAACAGAGCTGAAGTGGTGGAATAAAGCTGGGAATTATTGGATCCATACCTGGCCTACTATTCCCTGTTATTTATCATAATAGGTATATAATCGATTTTATGATATCGATTAATTGAATTATTCTTGTAATTGAATACAGCCACTTTCTATATACATCGTGAATCAGGAGTAGAATCTAGACAAGAATAGGTTCAGCTAATGCAATAATCAACCGTATTGACGATATTCGATCGCTTTCAGTGATATGACAACACGGACTACGCTCCGGGCTTGTAAAATATTTAATTCATGATGCTTTGATATAAAATAATGTTGATTCTTTGAAGTACAATTCAATTTATTGAATTAATAGTCGGTGATTTAGAAAAGAGACAGAAATAAGAATGGTACCATTTAACTCTATTGTATCGTAAAATGAGGCTATTTGGGAAAGTTATTACAACTATATAGATATTTAATTTCCGTTTTATAAACCAGTGCTGCCATGCATTTTGATTGCGTTATGTATAACGAAAACCAATTCAATTTCAGTCCTCACAAATACCTTCACATTTATTTCAATAATTTGCTTTAGTAGTCGGGAGGTAAAAACCTGCGAAGTCAGACAAGTGACATATCCCTTGTCAGTAACGATCGAAGACAAAATGATAGCTAGCTTTTTTCGCAGGTACAGCATCTCGGATGTTCAGAATGCAATACATGAAGAAATTCCTTAATACCTGATCAAATAGGAACTTTCGCTTGGAATTTTCCCTTTTTGCCATGAACCGCGGGGCACCCTAAACCGCCTGGGCCCATTTGGCTCACGCCTAAGCTGGGCTGTGGTGACATCTTATGATCTAAAGCGTAAACGTCAGATCCGCGCCCTTTAAGCACAGCTTAAGCTGGGTCTTTAAGACGGGGGAATTAGATCATTTCTGTTCATTTTAAGACCGGTGAATTAGATCATTTCTGTTCATTTTAAGACAGAGGAATTAGATCATTTCTGTTCATTTTAAATACTCAAAGAATTTGATAAAGTAATCCCTATAGATAAACACGTTACGCCTTATTGCTGATACCAGGTCAATAAAGGACACTGCATTTTAAATCGCTTACTCTTCTTCAAATTGAATGACAAAAATGACACAAGACCAATACTGTGGCATATGTCTGAATATATTTACAAGCAGTATGGTATGAATAAATGTTTCAATTTTATATACAAGGATAGCATTATCCAAGCAGTCATATTACATTACCCATCAGCATTTATAACGGTGAATTTAATACTGAAGAATAAAAAGGACTAAATGAAATAACAGGATGTAATAATAATGGAAGGTATATACAGCTTATATATTAAACATAAATATAGTCCCCTGTCAATCACCAACACGGTTTATGTTGGCAACAGCTGTTCAAGGTAATCTACAAAATTATATTAACATTTATAACGTACAGTGCAACCTGTCTAAAGCGGTATATCATTGATTCTGGAGGTTTCCAGTGACTATGGGGATAGAGGTCAAAATAAATGCCAAGACAAAGCGGTTTTAAAATTTGCAATGCAGGTAGTGCTGGACAGATTTTTGTATTTAACTTATAGTAGAACCTTTCAAAAGCGACCACCAGGCTTTGCCGTGGATTCAAATCGAGGTCAAAATGATTGTTAATGCAGGTGCGGGGAGTGTTGTGACATATTTTGGTATTAGTCTATAGTAGAACCTTTCAAAAGCGGCCACCAGCTTTTCCGTGGATTCAGATCCATATAAAAATAATTATGTCGTGTTTTAATTGTTTGTTTTAGACAATGGAACGCCAAAATATAATTGATCTGTCAATCCATAGTTTCCAGACCCTAACAAGCATCAACATTAAATTCGACACATATACAACCAACTCATTTTCAACAGATATTATCGCCTTGCATCAGAAGTGTCATTTTCAGGTTTAAACGATTTTAAATATAATTGAGAGAATTCGATATCTTTTCAGTGATTAAACCCATCAGTTAAGATTTAATGGATTTTGTAATGAAATGTAAAATGTCAAATTATATCATTTAAAGCCAATCATAATTTTGTCTTGATAATATAAAGCTCTCCACGTCCATTTGCAAATTAGCCAATTTACAGCAAGTTTTGTCTTAAAGGTTATTCCCAAAGAGAAAATAATCGTTTGCTTTTGCTTGATTAATTTTTTGTTCCAAAATACCCTGAATGCAAAAACAAGTTAATAAAAATAATCATAAAGTAATCTTGATAATTCATATTCAGGATATTAATTTGATAATGTACAGGCTATATGAAGAGCGAGTGATTCAATCTATATAAGGAGTGATAGATCTCAGCGATAGTTTCTTACTAAATATAACTCAACACAATCAGATTTTGTCTATATTGAAAAAGGTTCTGTCGAAAATTAGATTAAAGTCTTTTATAATCAGAGAGCGTTGAGGAAATCGACAGAAATGGTGCCGGTTCTATTCGAAGTCAGTTGCTATTGATAAGCTGTAGTCAGGACAGTTTAGGGGTAAATTGATCAAGATTAATACCTTAGTTGCGATAAAAATCAATACAATCTAATAAAAAGATATGCCAGCTTTTGTTGTTGGTATTTTACAATTTCCTGGTGTGTGTTCAGAAATACTAAACATTAATCACTACTCAAGAGGCTAGCATATTTTACTGACACCATGTCAATGGTTTTGGAAAACTGGTAGTGAAGTTTTAAAGATCAGCCCAGTAGGGAGTCCTCACTCTCTTTGTCAATCACTCTAAACCAAGATAACAACGGTGGTACATACTTATAGATTACATGAAACAGGGCGGAATTTATCATTTTGGACAACTAACTGTTTCCAATTACGGATTTATTTTTCGAACTCAGAAAGGAATATGGGACGTTCTGAATGAAATGCGGTTTAACGTGCTACTTGTCTGTGTCAATCGGGCTAATGAAGACCGACAGTTTTGTCTAGCCAACAACTTTATTTCAGCTGTCAGTGTGTACCTGGGGCCATGGGAACGACAAGACGTTGTTCCTTTCCAGGCTCTCCAACCTGCACTTGCACGGACAGGGGAAACCACGCGGGACAATCCCTGGGATCTTCTCGGCCTACAGCGGGATCGAACCCCAGACCTGCTGGTTAGTGAACCTGCGCCTTGTCCACTGAGCCACCGTAGTTCCCCGAACATACAAATCAAGTTACGGGAATCAAGTATGCATACAATACAACAATTCCTAGAATTATATAACTCTTAGCTCTCACATAATGCATCTTTAACCCAAGCTTCACCAATAACTGTAAATATTGTTGACTAAAATATATTAAATATATTACTCGTGCCATTCAACGAGTGGTTTAATGCATACGAAGTATACTAAAATGACTGCAAATATTGTGTGAGAGATACAATTTAATCTTGCAATTCTGAATGCAACATCAGATAAAGAAGAGTCTGAGAGAATAACGTTTTTATAATCGCGTAAACGCACCAGACATCTATATTCTCAACACTAAAAAATTAATTCAACAGCATGGGAATGTTAAAAATAGAATTCAGCAGTGTGGGAATGTTAACAAGCGGTTGTCATGCAAGATACACCTACATTTTGCTTGACGGACAGAGAACAAGCTAAAAATAACGCGATTTTTCGTACAATCAGGGGCCATGATCCAGGAAGTTACGGTCTGATATGGGCGAATATCTGTGAGATATAAACACATATTTTATGTTTCATCAAAATCGGATCAAAATTGTGATCTCTAGAGGTACCACAACCTTGATATTACATACTTTAACACTATTTTGGTACAGGGAGCAGCCATTTTGTCGGTCAGTTTCGGTCCGATTTTCACGAAATTCGAACTCGACCATCATTATGGTGTAACGGTGATAGATTCGAACGGTTTTTTTTAAAAAAGGATAAAATTGTGACCTCTAGAGGAACCACAAACTAAAAACGCGATTTTTCGTACAATCAGGGTCCATAATCGGTGCGCGAATATCGAAAGGAACCGAGATCTTTGGGTTATAACCATCTATTTCAAATTTCATCAAAATCGGATAAAAATTGTGACTTCTAGAGTATCCACAAGCAAAAAACGTGCCTTTTCGTACAATCAGGAGTCATAATCCACAAAGTTATGGTCCGATACATGCCAAAACAGAAAGGGACCTGGATCTTTTGGAGATACAATATTAAGTTTCGTCAGAATCGGATAAAAATTGTGACCTGCAGAGTGTCCACAAAGAAATTATGGACGGGCGGACAGGGTCGACGACAATATACGCCCAGATGAAAATGTGGGCGTATAAAAATGACGATGTTATGGTGCAGGCATGGGAGTTTAAAATGTCGATTTTAAAACACTAGGGTCGGTAAAACGTCTGTTGAAGACGCAGCAATGTATCAAGTTTTACCGTTCAGGGGCTTATCTCTTTATTCAGCTGCATTATGTCTCGTCAGCACTTCCAACCATATTGGTGGTACGGTTTAATAGCCTCTCAGTTCATAATAGATGGAATAAATGCATAATTGTTTTACTTCAAACGTCTACAAGCTACAACAGTGTATAGTCATTTCACGCACACAATCACACGTGACGGATCCACCAAATATACCAACCGACAAAGAATAATCTATGAACAATCTCAAACAATAAATGTTAGGCTCGCTAGCGCATATAATACAACTATTAACCATACGTCACCCCCCTGATACATCTATGCATTTAATTCTGAAATAACTATCAGTTACCCCAAACGGAAAGTGAATTACAATTTGACGAATATACTAGTATTATATTTTACATTCCGAGTACGAGGACTGATTAAGCAACGTAAATTTATCTGCTAATATGCTGAAAATAAAAAGAAATATTCATATACGTATTGATTAGATCAGTAGATATATTTCCCCCTGCATTAATAGATCGTAAAAAAAGATTAAATATAACCGGGGTCACGTGTATTATGTTGAGCCATTCCTCAGATCGAAGACCCCTTGTTTCCAATAATGTAATACTTTTAGTTTCTTGTCAAATGGTGAATGTTGCCACTGCCTCACTTCCGTTCTATTTGCAGCATTATACCCGACGTTAAGTAGCTGGTAATGTATAAAATTCTCGCTAGACAATTCCCCACAAATGTTAAGGATATGGTCGTGGGGTTACGAAATACCCATTGTATCCGCGCACAACTGTTTTCTGGATCGTTAAAATGAATTTGAATCTGCTGGTGAAGGAAGTAGAGCTGCGTGACATTCAACAGAAGATA